AATTCAAGAAATACTCATTCTCTCATAAATAATTACAGCCTATACCCCCTTCATTAAGGCTGATAATTTTCGCTTAACTTATATAAATCAGTATCATATATTGTATTGGTATCATTAAGGCTGATAATTTTGCTTAACTGATACCAAATCAGTATATATATATTGTATTGGTATCATTAATGTTTTTCTTGTTAAAAAATTAATCATTAGGCAATATATAATTTAAGCATATATAATAAAAAAATTATTATTGTTGTATAGAATATGTATTCCTATAACATATGTATAAAAAACTGTATCATTACTATATAATTTATGTATAATAAATATATAATCAATATATAATAAGCGTATAATGTATATAGGCTAATGATACACATATTATACAATTCTTACACACTATATATTTAGGAAAAATTACATGGATAAACAAACATATACTAGTTAATTAGTTAGCATAACTATAGTTTAATTAAATAACCATTCACCACTAATTTACACTCATAATTATGTGGCCAACGTCTAGAATTTGTATAATTCGGCTCCTAATTGTATAAATTCAGAATTTGTATTAATTCATATTTCTAATTGTATAAATTCAGAATTTGTATAATCTGGTTCCTAATTGTATAAATTCAGATTTTTCCTAATTGTATAGATCCAAAATTTATATATACTTACCCTATCTTGTATATAATTATCATGTTGATACATTTGATTTGTATAAGTTCTAAAAATTCCTAAATATAAAAATACAGAGTTTGTATATACTTACCTTATTTGTATATTGACAAATGAATTATACAAATGGTAATATCCATAGCAAGAAACTATAGCTATGAAACGTAATGGGTCAAATTATAGCTAAAGAAACTTATTAAATTTAATCTCTTTGATATTTATGAAATCTCATCGTATATTTATACACAAGTGAGAACAAATAGAGACCTTCAAAAAAATTATCCAATCAAATATGTACCAAAAGATCATAGATCTGACGAATTCATGGTGTTTATAGGTGAACTGGATGAAAACTTAACATAAATATTGTATATTATGAAGATATTTATCATTTATAGCAATAAAATATATTTTTCTCACTTAGAAACTTATAATATATTTATATATAATTTTAATACATATTATAAAAAAATAATTTATAGAACATATATAATTTATCTTTACGGTAATGACTTGCTATATATGGAATTACCTTCTTCATGTTAATTCTTTTCCCGGTCTTGTAATCTCCCTGGAGCTTGCTAGCTAAAGTCGGTTCCATTACTAAACGCAACTGTTCAGCCAATTCCTGAGACAACCTCGTAGTTCGAAGTTCATAATTTTTCCAGAGAGTTGTGGCACTCTCTCTCATTTCATTGGATACCTCCTCAAGGTTACGGGCCTTGCCCAGGTCGTCATCATCTACTGAGAGCTCGCTAAGCCGATTTATGTCCTCAGACAAAAAGGTCCTGTTCACTGATACCAAACTCTGGGACAAACTAGGGACAGTGGTACCATCTCTAGTATCAACTTCAGATGGTGATCCCAGTTGCTCCTCAGTGTTCATCATCTCTGATCCCTTGCCCTTGTCATTGCTGAAACTTAAAGCAGAATTACTGATAGTATGTGCTTCAGTCTCAATCTCCATTTCAGAAATGTCATCTTTTCTCTCTGTAGTTACAGTTTCTCTTTCAAGATCGTTTCCATGTACATTTTTGTCTACTTGATCAGCTGTTGCTGGCCCAAGTGCTTGAGCAGTTCCCTTTTCAAATTCAGCAGTATATGAATATTCATTTGCATTTTCAGCAGCCAAATCATCTGGAGCTTCACTCTCCTGGAGATCAAGGGAGACTTTGACTCTGTCTTTCCACCCCTCAAGGGCATCACCCACACTACGACAAGGGTTAGGTTGAATCCTTTGATGTGATGAATCAGCTGGAGGTAAAGGATTTTCAGGTTGATCACTGCCCAGTTTTTGTCCATTTGAAGAATCAGAAGCCATGATTTCAACCATAGAGGCATCGGGAAAACCTCTCATGGGAGCAAGGTCATGTTGAAGCCCACTAACATCAGATCCCTTCGCTTCAGGAGCAATATCTTTTAAATTTGCTTGATTAAATTCACCTCTAGGCTCAGACGCAGCAGTTGGGACATTATCACTCACAGATTGAGAAGTGTCCGATTGCAGCATCTCTCTATTTTCTGTTGTTGGTTCCTTTTTTGTGTCATTTGCAGGATCACCTTCTTCACCAGCTCCTCCAGAACTTTCCTCCAAATGCTCAGGGTCTGCCTCATCAAAAGTTGCATCTGAATCAGCGCTTTCATCTCCCTCATTTTCATCAGCAGGATTGCCTTGCTGGTCCAAATCATCTTCCATCATCGGTTCAGCAGTCTCTGGTTCATCCATATTACAATCATCTTCAGGACCTTCCTCATGTTCATCATTTTACTGTAACTATTTTTATTCACCATGTTGGATAGTTAAGTTTGCAAAAATGGTGGCTGAAAATGGGAAAGAAGAAGAAAAAAATAATTAAAAAATCGACTAAATAGGGTTTTCACGCGCGCTCAACAAGTGTATTACACTCTCTAAGCCATGTAAGCAAAAAGTGTCAAAATGACACAGCGAGACCCTACATGAGGTGTCTAAAATGAACATCGCCCACTTAAGGTGCCTAAGTGAAATTTCGTGCCAAATTTAAGGGGCCACCGATGGGTTAGCCCTTATATCTATATTGCATGCATGATTTACTTTTAGGCCTAACCCATCAGTGATCCCTTAAAGTTGGCATCAACTTTCACTTGGACAACTTAACTAGATTTTGTTCATTTTAAACACCTCATGTCTAACCTCATTGGGTCATTTTGACACTTTTATATTTTCAAAACCACATTTTAAGTGCGTACATCCAGACGCCTCTTATGTGAAAAAATAAACGAATCAATATGTGACATGTGGACATTTTATTTTATTTTTTAAAAACTCAATTTTACTTTCTTTTTTTTCCAGATCCCAAACCCCATGCCCCCACCTCTTTTCTTCTTCCTCTTGTGCCTCCTTCCCCTTTTCGTTTGTTCTTCTCTATCAAAAAGGCAAGAACATAGGTTAGTTCACAAAGTAAAATACGTTGGGAGAATAAGGAAAATCATATCAAATCAAAAAGTTTTTGTATGACATTTAAAAGAAGTTGATTTCTTGTGCTACTACGATTGGGATTTACAATGAAGGATATGTAAAATAAATTTCATTTTTTTTTCATTGGAGGTTGTTCTTTATTTTTTTTTATCCCTTGAAATCAATTTAATTTCGTAATTTCAATGGAGAAGGTAAGAATGTAAATCAATTTTTTTCATTTGAAAGAAGTTGATTTCTTTTTTTGTTCCCTTGAAATCGATTTAATTTTGAATATGAATCAAGATGCAAATTTGATTTTCAAAGAAGACGGAAGAATCAAAGAGTGTAACCTAGTAAAGTATTGTAGAATTATTTTAAAAAGTTGCGTGGGTGATGGAGGATAGCAGAAGGTGGAGAAGATGGAAGGGAGAAAGCAAGGAAGAAGAAGGAGAATAAAATATTTACAAAAAAAGTCTCTGACGCGCTTAAAATTCGTGTAGCACACGTACCATGCTTAGTCAGCAAAAAGTGTCAAAATGACACAACGAGACGCGACATGAAGTGTCTAAAATGAACAAAACTTAGTTGAAGTGTCTAAGTGAAAGTTGGTGCCAATTTTAGGGGGCCACTGATGGGTTATGCCTTACTTTTAATACATAGTGCAGATTTGATATTACTCCCTCCATACACTTTAAATTGTCATAATAAGACCATGCACAACGCTTAAGAAAATTTAATAAGAGGTGCAATTTGAATAATATAACTATATTATTAAATATCAATCATTATGAAAATAATTGTTAATTATTAAGGGTAGAATTGGAAAAAAATGACTAATTGTTTCTTGATTGTTTTAATTGACAATATGTTTGAGATAACTATTTTTAGTATACCTGATAATTAAAAGAAACGGAAAAAAAATTACTATGTATGACTATAAATAGTACTACAAATAAAAATTATCACTAAAATCAATAATTATTTATTTAAAAAAATACTCAAAATGCTAAGTTGCCATCACATTTTTTCATTTATTTACATTTTGATAGACAAAAAATGAATACATGATGAAATGTTAATTGAGGTATTCAGGTACGTCATTGTTGCTAAAAATAAAAATTGAACTCTATACTTTCTTCACCGTTGCTTTCCATTAAATGCTTTCTTCTTTGTCAACTACTTCATTTATCCTAATTTATATCACATCTTTTTCAATCTTATAGAGTTAAATAAAGAGACTTTTTTAGCACAAATTTATTTATACACCTTTTACATAATTTAAATTATTAATTAACGTAATTTATAATATTTTTATATATTTTTAATTATATAAATTATTTTTAAAAATATTAAATGTTGCATGTCTGAATTCACGATCATATAAATTGGAGGAGATGGAGTAAGTACTAATACTTTTGTCTCAATCTATCTAATTTGGTGCACTCTTTTTTAGTTTATTTAAAAAAAAGTTATTTTTTTATAATTCTAAATAAATTTTAACCATGTAAATATCTAAAATTTGTTTCTTTATTTATATTGAGAGGGAAGGAGTACTTTTCATTTAATTTAAAGAAGAATTATTTACATCATTGCTCACAAAAGCAACAAAAAGAAACCATGTTCTAGTTTCCATAGGTAGAAGAAGAGCCCATGGTTTTCATTCACATAGTAAAACAACTAGTGGCTTACAAAATTTTGATTATTTTTTTTCAACTTGTTCAAACTTTAATTCAATTCTTGTTTGTACCACAAGAAATGGCTTTTCATCAACATGAAAGGTTAAGCCCTTAAACTACTATTGCTAGTAGTATATATACACATACACATAAATGTTAACTTCCATAAGTAACAAATTAAGTTGAGTTCCCTTATATAATTTTATTGTAAAGTTTGATCATCAATCATCATGAGTAGCTTTAGTGAAGAACAAGAAGCTTTGGTAGTTAAATCATGGGGGTCTATGAAGAAGGATGCTGGTGAATGGGGTCTCAAATTCTTTCTCAAGTAGGCACACTATAACTATTTACTTCCTTCTGTTTCAATTTATTTGTCCTATTTTCTTTTTAATCCGTTTTAAAATAAATGACAATTTTCCACGTGATACACTTAGGATCATAAGATTAAAGAATATTTTGAATTGTTCAATCTACGTTTCGTTAATTAAAACACTATAAGATTAAAATAATTTCTTAAAACTTTGTACAATTTAAATACAGACAAATAAATTAAAACAAAAAAGTATATATTATGACTTATTATTTTGGATATTGGTTGAATAATATAATTAGATGAATTTATTGATGATTTTCAGGATATTTGAAATAGCACCATCGGCAAAAAAGATGTTCTCATTCCTCAAAGATTCAAATGTGCCATTGGATCAAAATCCTAAGCTCAAAGTTCATGCTAAATCTATCCTTGTCATGGTAACTACAATGCCATTACTACTATTTTACTCTGTTCCTTTGTCTCAATTTAAGTATCTTATTTTTTTGTTTTATTTCAAAAATAATAAAAGAGTGCATTTTGCTATGTTTAATAAGCTTACAATTCAAATATCTTACGTGACAAGTTTAAAATCATAAAATGTGAACCATCTTTTTCTGCATCCCATATGACATGCTTTTAGATCACAAGATTGAAATACATTTTGATGCATTATTATATATTTTTAATTTAAGGTTATAATAAAATTATTACAGCTTAATGATATATACCTTTGATCTATAGAGACAATATTTTTTTTTCTTCATAATTAATTTGTTTTTATGGCAGACTTGTGAAGCAGCAGTTCAACTTAGAAAAGCTGGAAAGGTTGTGGTGAGGGATTCCACTCTAAAAAAAATAGGTGCTACACATTTCAAGTATGGTGTGGCTGATGAGCATTTTGAGGTATATATAATATTAATAATAATAATATTATAAACCTTCTTAGTATATTTGAATATACTTTTGGGCATACCAAATTTATTATTTTTATAATAAGGATTCTAGATCCTACTTATAAGATTATACTGCGTATATATGTTATTATTGTATCCTCTTGACTAGCATTGGAAATGATGTGTAAGATATAGTGTCAGAGAAATGAATTTTGGATTTGACTCAATCCGAAAAGCTAGCATAAGAGATGATGATTGTCCAAGTCATATAAAGAGACCACTCTAATCCTCGATAGACTCCTCAACCCCCCATCCTTCACGTCCTGGGTATTTGGAGCATGTGTAAAAATTGAATTAAGATGAGTCCTGCTGTGATATCATGTTTTAAAAACAATGAATCTTGAGCCTAATTTAGTTCTTAAAAATTAGCCAAAAGTGAAAATTGCTCGATATGTATAAAAAGCACACTCATCCCTTTAACCATCGATGTGTGACTCTTCACGTAGAGTCTTTAAAACTCTAGATAAAACAAATTAAATAGTCATTCAATTTGGCAAATTATCACAAAAATACATATGTTGGAAATTAAAATTCTATTATTTTGGTTGACAGGTAACAAAATATGCCTTGTTGGAGACAATAAAAGAAGCAAGTCCAGAAATGTGGAGTGTTGACATGAAGAATGCATGGGGAGAGGCCTATGATCAATTGGTTAGTGCTATCAAGACTGAGATGAAGTAGCTAACCTTCAAAATCCAATAAAATAAATAAATTTACATCCTCTTGTATAACAACAACAATAACATTAGTCTCGTAAATGGGGTCTGAAATCGAGAATATAATGTATGCATATCTTATTTCTATTTTTTATGGAGTAGAAGGACTGATTCCGATGGACTATCGGCTCAAAATATTTTGTATTACTTTCAAAGTTTTGTAATCTAATTCGTGTGCTATGTCTTTTGTATATATGTATGGATTATTTATTTTTTGCATTTTTGTATACATTATCTAAGGAATTAATTTGGTGTATGAATTTTATTTTTCTAGTCATGTATCAAAGGAATTAATTTGAAAAATAAGGCAAGTAATAACCTTCTCTATAAAAAAATTGTTTTTAATTATTAATGCACCTAAGATAAATCCTTTAATTAGGTGTAAGGCAAAAGTATTCATTACCTCTTGAATTTGAAGCTTTTTATTCGGTGTACACTTAAACTATATTCCGTTTTGATTACCCCGAACTTGTTTATTCCTCCATCACGTACACCTTTTTTGTCCACCTGCTTCTATTGTGATTACACGCGCGCAACAACTGGCAAAAGTGATGATGTGGATTTTCACCTGGATAAATAATAGCCACCTAGATAAATTAATATGACAAAAAATAATTATGATCAAACCTTCTCACCTTAAACTTTCGGACTAAGCTTCTCACTAAAACTTCTGGACTAAACTCGAAAATCTTCAAGAAATTAATATTTAGTACTGGAGAACTCAGATTAAATGCCAGCACAAGACTTTTATTGTTGAAAATAAAACAAATTAATTTTGGATTAAAAAAAATCGGTAGGGATTGGGGTTGTTTCTGCAAAAGTATCTTGAAGAAGATGGGTTGTAGGGGAGGATGCGGGGTTGTAGGGGAGGGGATAGGGTGCTGCAAAATAGATTTTAAAATAATTAGATAAAATGCTACATGTCATTTATTCATTGGATAGTTTTTCTTAAATTTAAAATTCATTGTTTAAAAGTTATTTCTGAATAAGGGCTGATTTCGCGAAACTCCTTCTGGATTTGAGTTTTTCTAGACGTGAAGTTGGTCGATTAAATTTCAAATTTGTCTGAAATTCTTACCAAGTAAGTGTTAATCTTTGTTTCCTTTACTTTTCATTTACATTTTGCCATATTTGTCGTTTAAAATATGTCAAATATTAAAGAAAATGGAAATTTTACGTTTTTTACCGTTGTAGCTTTATGATGTGGCAAAAAATCACCTCATTGCGCGCCTAGTAGAGTGTGTTGTCAATTTCTATGTCAGGTGGACGATAAAGGTATACGCGATGGAGGAATAAACAAGTTTGGAGGTAATTAAAACGGAATATAATTTAGGAATACAATGAATAAATTTTTTTAAGTTCAGTGGGTAATTAATACTTTTGCCTTAGGTGTACTATATCTATGTATTAGGTGACTTTTTGTGCTTCAGCATGTATTAGGTGTACTATATCTATGTATTAGGTGACTTTTTGTGCTTCAGCAATATTGGTCAAATATGCTATGCTACAATTTTGACTTATTACTAAACAATTATATTTGACATAAGTTTGAAAGGTTAATTTTCCGTCCATTTTTATGGGTTCAAAATTAACTCGGCATATTTTTTTAACAGATTATAAATAAAATAAATATCAATCTTTTTATTAAATATAATAAATTCAAATTTATATGTTTAAGTCGTTTCAAGAAATTGTGCTTGTGGTACAACGCAGAAAAATCATAAAAAATTATGGGGATCTATTTTGGTCACTCCATTTAAGTAATTTTGCTTTATGTTTTTTTTATGGCACGAATATGTAATATTATATAACTTTCAAGTGAAAAAAATATAGTACTTATTTTTGCCTTTTTTTTTAGCACAAATATATATAAAAAAAATGAAAGGGTGTTCAATGAGTTATGTTAGATTTGTTGTTATATCAACAAATTGATGATTGAAGTTTTTTTTTTTTTTATGATATATGAAATTAATGTTTCAAATTTGAGCTTATTTGAAATAGATTTAGGTGTTGAAATTTTAAAAATAGTTTATTTTTTATTTTCTTAAATAAATTTCTGACTCACATGCCTGAAATTTGAGCCCATATTTACCTATAGTTCATTCCGGTATGAAGGACTAAAGTGCAAACTTAAAAAAGATTTTTTAAAAAAAGGTTAAATGAGTTTGTTAGACTTGTTATTTTTTTTATAAATTGGTGATTAATTGTGTTTTATTTTTTATGATCTATGAAACTTATATTTTGAATTTGAGCTTGTTTAGAGCATATTTGAGTTTTGAATTTATTGTTGAAATTCGAATAATACATTCTTTTTTGTTCAGACGCACATATCTGAAATTTCATTTCATTTTCACAAGTATTTCACTCATGTATGATTGAGATGCAAACATACATGAAAAGATTCAGATATACATGTCTAAAAGTTTAATCAATTTTAACATACACCTAATGTTCAAACTTTTACTTTTGCAAGTCACACTAATCACAAGGCGAAAACATATGATGTTTGGCCTTCACAAGACCACACTTTCTGACTCAAATATCTAGAATTATCAAGCTTCAGACGTGACTGTCCAACCTTTTCTTCAAAAGAAATAAACTTGCAAAAAAAAGTTATGAAACATATACTACTTAATTAATTAGCTATTTCAAAAACAAATATTTATGCGCCCAGAAAAATCCGTTGTGATAGAATATTAAACAATTGTCATGGATTTATTTCAATAGTTTAGGACCATTGCATTTTCTCCAATTAGAGCGACGGTTTATTCCTCTTTCTCATGTTTGCCACACAGAGTTTTAGTCAATTGGGTTCAAAGCTCTAAATATTTGTCCAATTTGACATTTCTTTCTTGGAATATTTAGATAAAAAAAATTTAAAAAAAAACTATGTTATATATGCGTACATAAGAAATAATGAAATTTGATAAATAACAAAATACTTATTATATGACATATATGCTATGGTTTACTTTTAACATAAGAAAAGGTTGCCATTAGCTATTATTGAACTTAATTTTATTATTTTAAAATTAAAAGAAAGCATATTGTCAAATGTTATTTTTTCAAAGAAATTTAGCTATGACCAAGTAAAATCTCCTTAACATAAGCTTGGAGATTCATATTGGATGAACCATTTTCCTTCGTAGCTTCCTTAGCCAAATCTTTTCATTTTTTGGCATTCTTTCTATAATCCTCCCCTTTCATCACAACATCTATGCATCTCCCCAAGTCATCCTTTTCAACAATACCTTCATCATTGACACTAACTCGGACTCCGATTTTCAAAACATCTTGAATGAGTTTAGCGTTACAAAGTTGATCATTCCAAAGTGGACATGCCACAATAGGCACGTCAGAAACTAAGCTTTCTAGAGTTGAATTCCATCCACAGTGAGTCAAGAAACAATCCAAAGATGGATGATGTAAGACTTCCACTTGTGAGCATCAAGTCACTATTTTTCCTTGCTTTTCTAATTCTTCTTTGCACCTCAAATTTTCCTCCGTTTTCCCCCTGTTTTCTTTCCTAATCACCCACAAAAATGGCCTTCCACTTTTTAATAATCCTTGAGCTATTTCCTCTATTAATTGATTTGGTATCTCAGCGTAGCTACCAAATGCTATGTAAATAACTGACTCGTTAGGATTTTCATCCAACCAATCCATGTAATTTTTTTAATTTGATTGTAAATCGGTTCCAAAAGAAGTATCAGAACGAGCATTCCCTTCAAGAAAAGCTGAAGGAGTGCAAAGACCAACTCCCACCATGGTCACACTATCCATCAAATGTTATCTCCTGTATTCAGGTTAGTCAAAAATATAGAAACAGAAAAAAGATGAAATAGATAAAATGCTTTTGATCCGAGTCCACAGAAACCACTGTGTTTCCTTAAGAAATTTAATCCCCTCACTTTACCCGAGGTTGCAGATTAATTCCTCCCAAGATAAAACGGATTAACCTGTTAGAGTAGTAGTGGTACCTTAAACTTCAATAACTTCAGCGAATGCAAGAACAGCAACAAGAGCACACACAGACTCAGTCGATCGACAATTTTGTTTATGTAAGAAAATGTATGCAGAGAGGAAAAATTTCAGTGTTGAAAAACGGAAAAAAACATCTCTATTTATAGCCATTTACAGCAAGGAATGCATCTGTTCAGACAATTTTGTTCAGACCCATTTTTTCCAAAACGTTGTGTCTTTTGAGAAAAATAACGACTTTTCGGAAGGAACAGGTCCCTTCAGAACGTTATTACCGTTGCACATGAATTTCAAATAAATTTTGTTGCGCCAAATTAATTCTATTATTTAACTAACATTCTGAATTAATTTATAAGACAAAAGAAATGAATTAACAAGATTGATTAAATAAATTTTGTTCAAAAATATTATCAATCAATCACATCATTTGTCAAAGCCAAATCCAAATCCAAAGCCAAAGCCGAGGCCGAGGCTGATCGAGCGACGACGACAGCGCGAGGGGCACCTTCTTCTTAACCCTTTAAGAACTAAAAGAAGTGTTTCCTAATATAAGGACAACAATTTCCTTTCTTCTACCAATATGGTAAAATGACTTTTCATTTGCACTTTGCAATGACTTTTCATTTTTCCTCCAAAATCCGTTCCCCCACTTTCATTGGCTCTTCCTCTTTCCATTTTCTCTTTTTATTTCCCATTCACACCTTGCTAAACCCAACAATCCCCCACATGAATGGGGAATGGCTATAGTTAAAACATATGCATGAAAAACTTATGTGTCTTGTAAGTAAGGGTTAATCGCATCCGGATAAGTAGGTTTCCCTTTAAACTTTCCGTAGTGAACATATATCGGATATACTCGGTCAATCGGTAGATTTGATATCTTTGAACCGTCGAGCTTTGGTGTATACCTAGACAACATAAGTCACACAATCAACCCTTGAACTGTTTTTGGTTCTCATTGTTTTGTTCGTTTCAGCCATGAACACATCTCGGTTAATAAGTGCTTAGAGAACTGGCCTTACCGGATTCTCCTTGAAGCGACTTACACTTCACACTTACATAGGTGGTTTCTAACTGTGTTATCCCGTAGATACACTATTTGATATACCCTGTATCAAACTTAGAAACCATTAAAAAGTCCTTATGCCTT